AATAATAAACAAATAATAAATAAATAAATAAAAGAAGTAAAGACAAACCTGGCGATGCATTATTAGTTGAAGAGAAGACAGAGGGATTAAAATCAATTAAAACGACAAAACATTCTAGGGCAGCACACAGAAACTCCTCAGGCTCTGACTTGCTAAAGATGCTTCCAAACGGTAAACCCTGCACAAACCCTAAACCCTAAACCCTAAACCCTAAACCCTGAGGTCATAGACACTAAACCCTTATAGACAGTATACCCTCATGCACACTAAACCCTAAAGCCTAATAAACCCTAATAAACCCTAATAAACCCTAATAAACCCTAAACCCTCACGAGACCGCTGGATGCACAACCTGCTGCACAGAGCCCGCACGCACCCAAATCCCTAAACCCTAAACCCTAAACCCTAAACCCTAAACCGTACGTATCCAACGGGGTCGTAGGTGAAGATAGAGCTGAGAAGAGAGCAAAAGAGGTTTGCAGTATAGGGCATATGCCCAGCTGTAAAGACAGCCAACCACGGAGGCTCTTGTCTCAAATACTCATCAATTGTCTGCACGCAAACCCTAAACCCTAAACCCTAAACCCTAAATCTTGCTAAACCCTAAACCCTAAACCCTAATTGATAAGGCTGCTGAAACTCCCCTTAGGCCTTCAAGCGGAAGAAAGAGAAAACGGCAGACTGCTCCTTCACCCCAAACCCTAAACCCTAAACCCTAAACCCTAAACCCTAAACCCTAAACTACAAAACCTAGACCCCAAGGCGTATATCCCAAAGCCTAAACCCCAAACCCTAAAACCCGAAACCATGCACCCTAGACTCTAAACCCTAAACCCTAAACCCTAAACCCTAGACGCTAACTAAGCCGAAAGACCCCAACCCCAAAACCCAAAACCCTAAACCCTAAACCCTAGAGTGTAGAGTGTGTATGTGTGTGCATGCCTTTGAAAGAGACCCTGAGAAGCACAGAAGGAGACAGCGAAGAACCTTAGCTCTGTTGGATAACATAAAAGGAAGTGAAGGGCAAGGAGACAGAGGCTTCGCTTTAATGCCGCCGCTCCACAGAAATCTGCAGTCTACTACATGCGTTGCAGGCTTCTGAGAACAAAGACATAAAAATAAATAAATATATTTATATTAATTTATTTTATTATACTTTTTATCTTTAAACCCTCATGCTAAACACAACATTATATATTTGTATGCATAATAATAAAACAAAAGAAATTAACAGAAAAAAATCAAACAACAAACTCACTAAACCCTAAACCCTAAACCCTAAACCCTAGACCCTAGAACCCTATGAAATAAGAACAAAACATACAAAGACAAAGGCAGACAGAGACTCAAACCGAGACAGAACTGCACGACACACAAACCCAAAACCCTAAACCCTAAACCCTAAACCCTAAACCCTAAACCCTCACCTCCCCTTCCGCCAAGAAGGCCCGCGGAGCGTTTACACAGAAGCCATTCAAAAACAACAGACGGGAAAGAGCGCTCATCAGCTGAACGCAAACCCTAAACCCTAAACCCTAAACCCTAAACCCTAAACCCTAAACCCTAAACCCTAGACCCTAAACCCTAAATGCCTTTACCATGAAACCAGGAATGAAAGGAAACGCCTTCACTAAAGAAGAGAATATAGAGTCAAGCCCTTAAACCCTAAACCCTAAACCCTAAACCCTAACCTCATTTGCTACAGTCGTGCAGCGCGTTGAGCTGGTTGAGTCGTGAGGGCTTTGCTGTTCGTCTTGCTGCAGATCTTGCTGCTGCTCTTGTTGCTGCTGCTGATCTTGCTGATCTTGCTGCTCTTGCTGCTGTTGCTGTTGCTGTTCCGGCTGCTCAGCATCCTCCCGCTTCTCGTGCTGCTGCTGCTGCTGCTGATCTTGCTGCTGCTGCTCTTGCTGCTGCTGCTCTTGCTGCTTCTGCTCTTGCTGCTGTTGCTCTTGTTGCTGCTGCTGCTCTTGCTGCTGCTGCTGCTGCTGCTCTTGTTGCTGCTGCTGCTGTTCTTGCTGCTGCTGCTGCTGCTGCTGCGGAGAGTACTCCTGGGCATCAAGCTGCTGCTGCAGCAGCAGCTCTTGCTGCTGCAGCTCTTCCTCAAATTCTTTTATTGGAATGGGGCTCCAAAAGAGGGTAGCCTCTGTAAGCAAACCCTAAACCCTAAACCCTAAACCCTAAACCCTAATAAACGCTAAACCCTAGAAACCCAACCCAACCCTAAACCGTAAACTGTATAAACCCTAAACCCTAAACCCTAAGCCCTAAACCCTAAGAACTCCAGGCGAGGCCTATTGCCTCTGGTGAGGTTTGACGACGTGTGAAAGGGAAGAAGTTAGGGTTTAGGGTTTAGGGTTTAGGGTTTAGGGTTTACCATATTCGGGTTTAAGAATGGAGACAGAAAGAAGCTGATGAAGAAGAGACAAAGACGCAAGAAGAGAGTCTTCCTCTCGCTGCGTTAAATGCATGCGGCTGCCTCGCATGCATAGCAGCAGCAAGTGCTGCGTCAGCTGCAGACACAAACCCTAAACCCTAAACCCTAAACCCTAAACCCTAAACCCTAAACGGCAAATAAATAAGCAGCTCGCGGACGACCTCGGCAGCAAAAAACTCTAAACCCGTATACACCCTACTGCACATCCCAACACACCTTAAACCCTAAACCCTAAACCCTAAACCCTAATAGACGGTACACCTTAATAAACCCCAAACCCTAGGACCTAATAAACCCTAAACCCTAAACCCTAATAAACCCTAAACCCTAAACCCTAACAAACCCTAAAAACCTAACAAACCCTAAACCCTAAGAGATCCTAAACCCTAGCAGACCCTAAACCCTAGCAGACCCTAAACCCTAAACCCTGGCGAACCTTTCTGAAGAGGAGTTGCATATTGAGTGGCTGGGAGTGCAGCAAAAGATTTATATCTGAAGGAGATAAAAAAGAAGAAGACGATGAAGACGAAGCAAAAGAAGGAAGAGAGGACAGACCGAGAAAAAGAGACAGCCAAAACTCCTGAGGAGACACCAAAAGGAGACAGTTAATTAATTATATATAGTATAATCATACTCTAGTTTATTATATTAATTTTATTATTTTATATTATTTTATGTTATGTAATAATATGTTATTATTATATTATATTATAGTCATATTGTATTGTATTATGTTAATATATATACATAGATATATATATATATATATATATATATTCTACACATGCATATGTATATACATATATATATTAAATATATATTATATATATAATATGTAATAGAAAGAGAGGGTGAGAGAGATAGAGAGAGACAGAGAGAGAAGTAGAAAGAAGAGACAGATAAAGAGACAGACAAACAGTGGGTTAAGCAGGGACAGACAGACAAACAATAATAAAACAAAAGCAATAAACAAACAAACAGCAGCAGCAGCAGCAGCAGCAAACATACCTGCGGCTGCTGCAGCAACTCAGGAGATGACAGCATCTCCAGCTGCTGCTGCACGTGAGACACACTCTCAGTGTTCCCCATTGTCTGCTGCTGCTGTTGTTGTTGCTGCTGCTGCTGCTGCTGGCGCTGCTGCTGCTGATGCTTATGCTGCTGTTGCTGCTGCTGCTGCTGCAACTAGCCTGCGTCTCAAGCTATCCTTGCTGCTACTACTGCTGTTGTTGCTGCAGCTGCTGCTACTGAAACTGCCGTTGCTGCGAAACTGCTGTTGCTGCTGCTGTCGTTGCTGCTGCTGTTCCTGCTACTGTTGCTGCAGACAGCGTCGGCAGCAGCAAGAATGAATGCAGATAAATGAAGCAAAGCTGCCTTCAAAGGCTCTCAGAAGCTGTTGCTGCTGCTTCCGCTGCTGCTGTGGTTGCTGCTGCTGTTGCAGCAGCAGCTGCTGCTGCGGGCTATACAGGGCCCCGCTTACTGTCTCCTTTGTGCAGCAGCAGCGAGAAGCAGAGACATGCGCATATCTGCTGAAGTTGTTGCTGCTGCTTTCGTCGCTGCTGCTGCAGTTGCTGCTGCAGTTGCTGCTGCAGCTGTTGTGCCCCTGCTGCAGCAGCAGGGGCAGCGGCTGCAGCAGATTTTCCTGAAGCCCTGTTGTTTTTGCTGCTGCAGCAAGCAGCAGCAGCAGTTACACACTGCTCGCTGTGCTGCTGCTGAGGTGTATGTACACCTGAGGCCCCCCAAGGGCCCCCAGGGAGTCAAGTATCTCCGCCGCTGTAGCTGCGGTGTCTAGGGTTTAGGGTTTAGGGTTTAGGGTTTAGGGTTTACGATTTGGATAAGATTTTCCTTCAGACTTCATCCACTTAACGAAAAAGAACGCTGCCAGGCCACAGCAGCAGCAGCAGCAGCAGCGGCAGCGGGACAGCAGCAGCAACAGCAGCAGTACTGCGACCTGCGCATGCATGCATGACAGCAGCAGCAGCAGCAGCAGCTGCTGCTGCTGTTGCTACCTTCTTCTTTGAATAGAAAAGAAGAGTGGTTCTCCCTTTTGTCATTATTTTTAATTAATTTATTCAATTTGCTGCAGCGCTGCAGAGGAGAGTGCTGCTGCATTGAGGTGTATGTACACCTGAGGGCCCACAGGGGGCCCCTGACTTCGAGTCTGTCCGTAAGGGTTTAGGGTTTAGGGTTTAGGGTTTAGGGTCTTGGTGGCTTCTTCAGCCCGCTGTCAGGGTTTAGGGTTTAGGGTAAATCTCTCTAGCCCTTTGGTAACCGCAAACCCTAAACCCTAAACCCTAAACCCTAAACCCCCAAGCAGGTGCTGAATTTTACAGCCCCTCCGTAGCGATAGCCAGCAGGGGACTTCTTTCTATAGCAGCAGCAGCAGCAGCAAGCGCAGCAGCAGCAGCAGCAGCAGCAACAGCAGCAGCAGCAGCAGCAGCAGCAGCGGCATGGACACCCCTATAAACAAAAAAACAGCAGCCGCAGCAGGACCATCCGCATCATTAACATCAGCAACACCAGCAGCAGCATCAACATCCACAGCAGCAGCAGCAGCAACAACAACAACAACAGCAGCAGCAGCAGCAGCAGAATGAAGGTTCGTGTGCTGCATAGAGAGGAGGGGGGAGGAGTCCCTGGAGGGCCCGGCGCTCTACCGCGATTTTCTGCACGCAGAGACAGCAGCGCTCATCCGTTTCAGCAGGTAATGCTGCTGCTGCTGCTGCTGCTGTTGCTGTTGTTGTATTGATGCTGCTGCTGCTGCTGTGTGGTTTATGCTGCTGCAGTGTTAATGCTGCTGCTGCTGCTGCTGCTGCTGCGTTTTGTTTTGAGGCTGCTGAGTAGCGGAAAAGGAAGCAGCAAGACAGGCCCCCCTGCTGCTAAACCTGCTTTTGTTTTTGCTGCTGCTAATCCTGCTGCTGCTGCTGCTGCTGCTGCTGCTGCTGCTGCTGCAGGAGAGGGAGTATGCACGTGCTGTCGTTGCAACGAAGCTGAATAAATTGTTTTCTAAACCCTTTCTCGCTGCTTTGGAGGCACACACTGACGGAGTGAAGACAATAGCCAGGGCTAGAACCCACCAAGTAAACCCTAAACCCTAAACCCTAAACCCTAATTCTTCTTCGGACGAGCAGCAAGGCGATATATGAGTTAGAGAGAGAGAGAAAAGAAGAACAAAAAATATTGACAACGCAAACAAACAAATGGACGTTGTGCTGCTGCTGCTGCTTGTGTTGCTGCTTCTGCTGCTGCTGCTGCTGCTGCTTTTGCTGTCCTTTGTGTTGTTGTTGCTGCTGCCTGTATTTTTGCTGCTGCTTCTTGTGCCTCTGTTACTTCTGCCGCTTCTGCTTCTGCTACGCCTGCTTCTGCTGCTGTTATCCCTGCTGCTGCTGCTGCTGCTGCTGCTGCTGCTGCTGCTGCTGCTGCTGCTGCTGCT